AGTGGGATGTTGTACTATTGTTTAAACCTGCTCTCTGCTGACATCTCACTGGTGAGTCAATGAAGACACTCATTATTCCAGCCAATGACAAACTGTTATCCACAGGTACCTCTAGCCCAAGGAAGACAATCTGGGCCAGGTATGGAACATGTGTAACAGGTTCCTCCCGTCATTCCTCTGTCTCTCCCCGTCCTGCCTCAGCCCTGCATCACATGCCCTTCTCCTGTCCCCTCCTGGTCTCTATCTCCATTGCCGGATACATCCTACATGTGTCTCTCCTCTATCCTGGTCTCCTGAAGCACCAGCACTGAGAGTCAGACGACAGACCCTTCTGCCTCCATTCTCCTCTCTTCCCTAGTCTCATCTTCCCTGTCCCTTCTACCACCCCACCACAACCGCCCAGAGGCTGGGCTGAGCCAGTTTCAGTCAGGGGAGGGGAGGGAGGCTGGTGAATATTATTAGCATGGGGAATTAAACTCATTAAGTATGGAAGGGCAGAGAGGACGACTCCTGCGGTCAGATTCGAGAGGGGACAGCCAGACACCCCACATACAGTCACACACAAACATACATATACACACACACGACACTCACACACATATGCCAAGGATGAGCCCACACCAGTACATTAAGGTAGGTAATTATATTCAGATAGTCAGAGATGTTTTAAAATCTTTCTAATTCCTGAAGGTGCTGGCACAGCAGAAACTGTTTATCTGTACCATTGTTCCCTTTTCTGTCTGTGCTTTTTAAAACGATTCACTTCAGAAAGACGCCTCAGCCTCTTTTCACTCTTTCCCACTGTTCTAGTCCTTCAAGACAACGTAAATCTAATCTACATTATTCAGTCTTTCTACTGTTTGACGGAGGCCTATCGTCTAAACAGGTTAGGAAAGAGAAAGCAGAGCAGACAGTGATTAGATGATGTGCTTTAATTAGGGGATAATCTGCTGATCTGGTATGTTAGGAATAATAACAGCACAGAGAGAAACAATTACTGTGTAGACCAAGATGGAAGTTAAATGTAACATACTAGATGCATTACAATGTGAAATGTATTCACTTCTCTCCATTTCTTTCTTTCTCTCCGCCTGACCATTTCCAATTACCTCTTTGTCTTGACCAAGAACCCCCTGTTTGACCTTCCTGCCGGACCAGTCAAGGAGGCTCCTCTATCAATCCAGACAGTCTTTGAGTCTCCAACGCCTCATTAAATAACTCTCAGTATTCACTCCTGGCTCTATTATCATCTCATATGCAAACTGGTGATTTTTAATAGAGCAGGAGTTATATTATTATATTATTATTGTAATTATCTGGTTATAAAGGCCTGATCCGTCATCCCAGAGAGATCTGAGTCCTCCACTGGTCAGTTCATTAACACACTACAGACACATATCACCCCGCTCTGCCACCACGGAGCAGGACACACACGCGCGGGATTCCCTTTGTGAGATCCAATTAAAAGTCCCATTGACATTCTGGTTCTGCGTGGCAGTATGACATCAGTATGATAGCTAAAACAGCAGGAACAATTACATTTGTGATTATCTTGGACTATGTTACATTATATTGTGATTATATTACTCACAATGTGGGATTAGACTGGATGGTCATTGAGCCTTTTGTTAAAACATGTGGAGTTTTGTCATTTGACATAATAATTATATTTTTAATTTAAACCACCACCCAAGATTAACCTACAAATGACCATGTGTTAAGGATATTGACTGAAATTAGTCTGCATATAACAGCCATTTACATACCTATTCCTTTTAATAGGAAACATAATATAAACAATATAATCTCTGCCTGCCTGCCAGTCTGCCTGTCTGTCTCACTCTGCCTGTCTGCCAGTCTGCCTGTCTGTCTCGCTCTGCCTGTCTGCCAGTCTGCCTGTCTGCCTGTCTATCTCGCTCTGCCTGCCTGCCAGTCTGCCTGTCTGTCTCGCTCTGCCTGTCTGCAGCGAAATGCTTATGTTTCTAGCTCCAACAGTGCAACAATTTCTAACAATACAATAACAATACACACATAATCCAAAAGTTTAAAAAAGAACAAGAAATTAAGACATATCAGAACAAGCAATGTCAGAGTCCGGAATAGAAATATCTATGTATGTGAATGGTGTGTATAGACAGCATGGACAGTATATGAATAGGAAATGTGTGTACAGCAGTAGTTATATAATATGAGCCATGACTAGAATACACTATATACATATAAAGTAGGTAAAACAGTATGTACACATTATTAAAGTGACCAGTGTTCAATGACTCTATGTACATATAGCAGCAGTCTCTAAGGTGCAGGGTACACTGTTAGACGTTTGTGTAATGTTATCAGTAACTTACTGTATTAATCAACAGTAAGAAACTGTGTAAACTGAATGCAGTAGATTACCATAGGATGCACAGTAAAATACCGTACATTTGTTTTACAGCACACTGTAAGACCTTTCTGTAATTTCAACAGTAAAACACTGTAGAATGCACAGTAAAATACCGTAAATGTGTTTTACAGTATTAATTATGGTGCATTGTGGGGAAATGTTTTTGTCAGGGAAAGAGTCTCTGGCTCGTTAACATATTTTAAGGCATGCCTTGTAAGAGGCTATATTTGTAGCACCCATGAGTGAGAATGCTGTACCCCCACAGAATACAGTAATACAGTATACTGTATTTTAAGAGTTCTACAAAAATTGTTCTGAAACTCTACAATAACTTACTGGCCAATTGCTGCCAGGAATTTACTGTCATTCAGAATACAGTACCATACCGCATTTTTGGAGTGCCAAAAACCTTTTGAACACTAGTGGGTGCATGGTATATTAACATATTTTGAGGCGTGTCTTGTAAGAGGCTATATTTGTCACACCCGTTGTAGTGGTTCCCTAACAATAACATTTATATAGGGTTCAGATCATAGTGGCAGCAAGTCTCAAACCTTTAATGGTTGGTTAGAAGCCTTTGTTAAGGGCTAAAGTGCAAGTGATATAAAACACCAAATATTATTTTCAATACAATTCAACAATAAAGTACTGTATTGCTGTTTTGCTATCCATTTACTGCAGCATACTGTAAATAATGGTGCATTGTGGCGAAATATTGTGGGAGGAGAAGGAATCACTGGGTCATTAACATATTTGAAGTGGTTATATTTGTTGCACCCGTTAGTGAGAGTCCTGTACCAATTTAAGTGATATGTGATAGTAGTCCCCTAACAATTAAAAGTATATATGGAACAGATCACAGTGGTAGAGTGTTTTAAACCTTTTAATGTCCATTTGATCTGTTTTGCTCTGTAATCATGGCCGGTTTGGAAGCCTTTGTTTAGGCCTCTAGAAGTGCAAGTGATATAAAACACCTAGTATTTATTAATATGCTGTGATATGCAAATGCATACAGACAACCTGCTTTCTCTAATCCCTTATAATTACAGTAAAATATTGTAGAAATAATTGTGTTAGTTTAATAGTCACTTTCACTGTACTGTACTGTGTTTCATTAATCTGGAATCAAGTTACTATTAATATCTCAGTATTGTATTGGCACTATCCAGCGATAGTCAGAGATATATCATAAGATATCTTGTTGTAATTACAATTATTTTGAAGACTAATGTATCCTAACTACAACATTATCAGAAACAGTTACAGAAAAGTTTTACTTGCTATGACTGTGATATGTTTTTAAAAAATCTAACTTGGTTGAATGCACTGACTGTAAGTGTAAGGGTTGGTGTGAGGTGTGACCCAGGTGCGGTGCAGGATAGACAGTAGGCAGTAGGCAGAGATGGTGAAACAAGGATCTTTACTGGTGGTCCCAAAGCCAGGATACAAAACAACGGACTAAACACGATAAAAGAAAGGTGGAGCAAATAAGTCTCCAAAAACAGGCTGACAGCCAAAATACGAAATAGTAACTACGACTGAAATAATAAAGAAACAGGGAGAACACTTCTCAAGTACCTGTACATACTTTTCAGATCAGACACTGATTAGTACTGCTGAGCACAGAGAAACTAGCAGAGAAAACTGAGCAAGGGAACACGGGGAAGTGAGGGCATAAATACACAGGTGAACAGGTAGACACAGGTGACACCAATAGGATCATGATTAGTCCAGACTGTGAGTGAGAAGGTGCATAAGGAGGAGGAGGACACCTAGTGGATCGCTCCGGAACTGCGACCCCCTCCTGTAACAGTAAGTTGCTAAGTATAAGAGCCAAATTGTAACTGTTCAAATGAAAACTTGCAAAGAACACTGGGTAATATGTCGCTGCATGGGTAATTCCAGTAATATACTGTCAATTAGATTACAGTAACATTTTTGGTGCCGTACAAAGGATTACCGTAAAATGGATGACAGTAGCTGTGCTGTAAAATAAATTACAGTAACTTATTGGCCAATTGCTGCCAGTAAGTTACTGTAGAATTTACATGAAATGTTTTACATTGCAGGGTACCGAGTGGTAGCCGGCTAGTGACAGTGTCTAAGGTTCAGAGCAGGGTACTGGGCGGAGCCCGGCTTGTGATGACTGTTTAACAGTCTGCTGGCCAGGAGATTGAAGCTGTTTATCAGTCTCTCGGTCCCAGCTTTGATGCTCCTTAACTGTCTTCGCCTTCTAGAGGGTAGCGGGGTGAACAGGCCGTGGCTCAGTTGGCTGAGGTCCTTGATGATCTTCTTGGCCTTCCTGTGACACCGGGTGCTGTAGATGTCCTGGAGGGCAGGCAGTGTGCCCCCGACGATGCGTTAGGTTGACCGCACCACCCTCTCGAGAACCCTGCCGTTGCGGGCGGTGCAGTTGCCGTACCAGGCGGTGATACAGTGATCAGTATCAGTATATAACACAACCACTTTAATAACTAGAGCTGTACTAATGGCTATTTAATTGGCTATTCATGTATTTCGCTCCCCTCTCCTTTCCTCAGTCAGCACACTGACACACTAGTTTGTACTGTAGCTGGGTGATTAGAGAGATGATATGAACCATTAGAGCATCATGGTCATCATCATCATCAAGTGTAGAGAGACTCTGGAGAGACCTATAGAGACAGGTGTTCTTCAGAAGGGATTACAATAGAGCAACATCCATGTTACAAACTCCAGACTCTGCAGTTCTTATGATGAAGGATGCCATCCTTATTAATCACGTATTACTACTAATAACACTCACACCTGCAGCTTCTCACAGTCAGCAGTTACTCACTACTAACGACTAGGATGGTATTTATTTCCAGTGATACGGCAACTACTGTACTGAAGAGAGACTGTAACCAAAACATCTAACAACATGCTCTATTTGTTTTCTGTTGTGAATCAGAGCTGTGTTTTCCACAAGGCTAAAGAAAATATTTTAGACCAAAACACTACAGCCCTCTGAGATCTAACCCAGTGGATGAGTTTCATTCTTTTAGGATAACATGGACAGAAAACAAACAACTGCTTTTATCAATTTGTAAGTCGCTCTGGATATGAGCGTCTGCTAAATGACTTAAATGTAAATGTAAATCCCTGCATGCCCGCCTCCTCTAATCCCTGTAATTCTCCCTTCTAAACATCCCCTAATAATGATCTCATTAAGGCGAGAAGAGGAGAGCAAGGAGAAGAGAGGATAGGATAGGAGAGAATCGCACCTCCAGATGTGACTGAGACCCTGAGAGAAATGTGTTTAGTGAGAGACCCTTAGGACTGAAGCATCTGTGGGGAATCTTTAGCTCTGTGTGTGTGTGTTTCTCCATCTGTAACACTGCCCCACTTCCACAGCCCAACAACACATTATCAAAACCCGCCACTGTCTCTGCCACAGTTCCAGGCCTAACACATCATCAAACCAAGACTGAATAATTCACCCTCCATCTGCAGCGTGCGGCATCATCAAAGTGAATGGAACAGTTTCCTGCCTGTCTTAGCCTCAGCCCCTCACACAGCATCATCATATCTGACAGCTACAGGGAAGAGGGCTGAACCAGGAAATCAATAATATAACCACTATATTGCCTTTCCTAACTACCGCCCAGTCAGAATGGATCAAATGTCAAACGCACAATGTGGCATACTAACTGTGTATGTGAAATCGAGATAAAGAGAGAGCTAGAGAGAGCAAGAGAGAAAGAGATAAAGAGAGAGCAGAGAGAGAGCAAGAGAGAGAGCTAGAGAGAGAGCTAGAGAGAGAGCAAGAGAGATAGAGATAAAGAGAGAGCTAGAGAGAGCTAGAGAGAGAGCTAGAGAGAGAGCAAGAGAGATAGAGATCAAGAGAGAGCTAGAGAGAGAGCTAGAGAGAGCTAGAGAGAGAGCTAGAGAGAGAGCTAGAGAGAGCTAGAGAGCTAGAGAGAGAGCTAGAGAGAGAGCAAGAGAGAAAGAGATAAAGATAAATAAATAAAATAGAGAGATAGAGCTTTGCCCCATAACCTGTACAGCTCTTATAGTCAATAATACAGACACAGCATATGCTGTTCCTGCATCTCATATGTGTGACCCCATTTTCTAAAACTGGGGCAAAACAACACACACTGATATCAATAATAAAATAATATCAAGATCCCTTTCATTTATACATGGCATACATAAGGAAGAGAATCACAGGGATTCTAAAACAGCAGAATTAGGTAAATTAGACCCTTTACACTGAGTCTTTCTGTAATGAGATGAGCAGTGGGAATGAGCCCTTCAGGATATACACACTGATATCTTCACCCCTGAGTGTGTGTGTGTTTTCGTGTGTGTGTGTGTTTACGTGTCATTTGTGTGTGTGTGTGTGTGTGTTTACGTGTCATTTCTGTGTGTGTGTGTGTGTGTGTGTGTGTGTGTGTGTGTGTGTGTGTGTGTGTGTGTGTGTGTGTGTGTGTGTGTGTGTAGGGCAGCTGCTCCTCCAGTGTGTATGAACAGCAGCGTAGGACGTCAGGCTTCATCATGGAACTCACTTGAGAGACAAGTGGACTCAGCGAACTCAGCCATCTCTCTGTTATCTGTAGTCCTCTCATTATCCTGCTCTACTCTACACTAAGGGTCTGAACCAGACCAGGCAGCACCTGAATTGGCTCTGCAGGCTCACCTCTCCTCTCCTACAAATATCCTCATAATACCCATCATCACCATCATCCTCAGCAGCACTTGTGTTATTTACAGCCTCTCCTCTCCTCTCTTCCACTCCCTTCCCACCTCCTCTCCTCTCCTCTCCTCTCCTCTCCTCTCCTCTCCTCTCCTCTCCTCTCCTCTCCTCTCCTCTCCTCTCCTCTCCTCTCCTCTCCTCTCCTCCACTCCCGTCTCCTCTCCTCTCCTCTCCTCTCCTCTCCTCTCCTCTCCTCTCCTCTCCTCTCCTCTCCTCTCCTCTCCTCTCCTCTCCTCTCCTCTCCTCTCCTCTCCTCTCCTCTCCTCTCCTCTCCTCTCCTCTCCTCTCCCTCTCCTCTCCTCTCCTCTCCTCTCCTCTCCTCTCCTCTCCCCCGTCCCCTCTCCTCTCCTCTCCACTGCAAATGCCTCTCAAGAACAGCTGTCTATGCTCTACAAAAACTGACACGGACACACCATCTACAGAGTTGGTGCTGAAATCACAGGCCAGGACCATTTACAATCTTTATTCAGGTCTATAGCTGGGAGCCTGGAACAGAAGCACCAGCCATGTGAGAAACACAAGGTTTACTCAGGGTCAGAGAGGAGTGGTGAGACCCACAGAGATCCTATTCAATTAAGTGATATGTAATTCTATGGCGTAATTCTCTTGTGAGACCTCTGTCGGTCTGAGAGCTGTGATCTCTTGGATGTCACCAGCAGGTGGCAGCAGATCACTCATTGACATCTTCCACTGAGTTCCTCACTAGTCAAAGGACCAAAGACAGCTAAGAGCCATGTTCCAAACCAAACCCTGGCCCCTTCACACAGGTTCTTATTATAGATCTAAAAGGAGTGGGTGTTTGGAAAAGCAATGTATTCCTGATTCCTATTCAAAATCTTTTGATTTGGAATTGGGAAAAGAGTAGGCTAGTCAGGTGAATCCAGTCAGTCAGTGTGGTTCAGTTCGTTGGTTCCACTGGTTTATTCAGTGAAGTATGAATATGGTTATATAAGTAGATAATAATGTTGACATCCCTCTGTTACAGAATTGATGGGAGTCTTTTATACTGCAGTCAAATATGCCACTTTCTTTTTTCTCCCTGTTTTGGGGTCATGTCAGAGCCTGCCAAGTTTAATGGAAAACTAGGCCAAATGTTCTACTATAGGTTAGTATATGTAATTCCCCAAACATATACGACTACACTTAATGGATAGACTACACTCAATGGATAGACTACAATCAATGGGTTAAAATGACAATCAACATACAATTAAAGATAGTCCATGACACAATGCTGAATATTTACATTCACTTATCTGAAGATGCTTACAATTACAATTCACTGAACCTCGAGGCCAAGTCTTGAGGTTTTATACTGGGTATCTGTAACGCACGTTGTGACAATTGTTGATGTAAAACGGGATTTATTAAATTAAATAAATGTGGCAGCTACACTCATCATACCTCTACTTCGAGCCGCGTGTATGAGTTCCATGGGCATCTGCGCGCAGAGTCCCATCCCTCCTCTCCCTCCATAGTCCATACAGTACCGTTCAAAACTTTCCTCCAATCAGTTTAGCTTCTAATAACTTGGTCAAGTGGAGTTTTGTCGGGTATGTATATTATCACTTTCACTCGGGTTTGGTTTGGCATAGTACGAGGTGTTGGTCCTAGTGGCTCGGTAATGTCTTTATGCAAACAGCTCCTTTCACCGACAGCATGCCTATTGTCACAGTCATGGTTTATATGGAGGCAGCGGTGGACGTGAGGATTACATCCGTTTGAGGAGCACTGATCCAGGCTGTGTTTCTCTCTGAGCCCCTGCCAGCCCAGCCATGAGTTGTCTGGATGTGATGTTTTACCAGAGTTATGGAGCTCACTACCTCCCTGCGTCTTCAGCAGCAGCGGCAGCAGCGTACAAAGCGGCATACTACCATCATCATCAGCACCAGCAGCAGCACCAGCAGCAGGTGGGTGTCCAGACTAGACGTACACACTGCTCTGAAATAGTTTGTTGACGGCGTAATATTTGTTTGTTTTTTAAATACTAGACTATTTTAGTGTTCCCATAATTCGCACGGTGCTTTAGGCACGAATACACTCCGTGCTGAATGTTTTGGCACGTCGCAGATGTCAGTTCACAGCGAAGAGTACTGACTCCTGAGTAACACAAAACTCATAAAGTTACCATTTGAAAAATTGAAGCGTTTCTCGCCGTGTATTTAGAGAAGGTCATGCAGAATGACTCGGATTATTAATCTCCTCGTTCCGTCAGAAGGGTGATGTAGGCTAATGACAACTCGTCACTGTCTCTCAGGAATGTTGTTGATAATGGTTATTTTGGAACGGCCACGAGCATTTGCATAGTCGACATACTTTCACCAGAACACACACTGAGAAACATCCTACAACTTCTTGAATAAACTTCGGTCTCACTCCTACAACTTATTGAATAAACTTCGGTCTGTAACTTTGCCCATTCTTCAACTTCGTTTTCCTTTAAAATGGAGGTCATAGAGAATTGAAGTTTGTAACGGATAGTATGACTTTGAACAACGGCATTGATGTAGGCTATTTTGCTCAGTGTATGTGGCATACACGTTTAATCATGTGGTTTGACCGTTGTGGCGCAAAATAGACAGACAGACTGGTGCTCTCATGGCTGAACCTTTGAGATGCATTTTTCGTACTTTAACCTTCTCTCTCTCTCTTTTTCTCCCTCTCTCTCTTTCTCTCTCTGTAGAAGAACCTGGGTGTGTACAGTAGGATGCAGCAGGACAGCGTGGAGCAGCAGTGTCCAGGGGGGAGACAGCAACAGCAGCGTGGGGGAGGAGGGGGGAGACTAGCTGGGGAGAAATGGGTCCAACGGGGCCTGGAGGGTTCTGGGCTGGGGGGCTGTGGGGGTAATGGGAAGGACAGCCAGCCAGCTGAGGCAGAGTACCTGAGCTCCAGGTGTGTCCTGTTCACCTATTTCCATGGTGACATTGGGGATGTGGTGGATGAACATTTCTCTAGGGCTCTGAGCCAAACCAGTGCCTTCACTGGAGAGACTAAGAGCTCCAGGAGCACTCCCATACACACCTCTGCCTCGGCTGGATTGTGGAAAGGTAGGAACACACAGGGACTTTCATATAATTACTCATAGTTTGAATTATGTCAATTCTGAAAACAGTCTTATTCATATAGGTATATTATCTTTCACTGTAACAAATTGCTGTACATTTACAGAAAAACATTTACAGTTAGCTACTGTAATTCTATGTTACAGTACAGTACTATAAAGAGCAATGCAATTTTACAATGAAATACTGTATTACCTGTTCTGCAGTAATTTACTGTAATTCAGTACCACCCCCACAGAATACAGTACCATATTGTAATTTTTGAGCGCCAAAAACCTTTTGTTGGTGCATGGTGATGTTGTGGCTCATTAACACATTTTGAGGTGTGCCTTGTGAGAGGCTATACTTGTTGTACCTGTTAGTGAAAGTGCTGTACCAATTTAAGTGATATGTGCTAGTAGTTTCCTAACAATTAAATGTATATAGGGGAAAAATCAGAGAGGCAGCAAGTCTCAAACCTTTAATGGTTGAGTGTTTAGCCATGCCCTTTTGATCTGTTTCACCTTGTAGTCACTGCCAGTTTAGAAGCCTTTGTTAAGGCCTTTACAAGTGCAAGTGATATAAAACACCAAATATTTATTGGTATGCTGTAATATACAAATACCTAGCAGTCAACCTGCTTGCACTAATCCCATGTAATTACTAGTTTACGTTTGATACTGGAGCTCCGAGGCATGCGTCGAAATGGCTAAGCAGTATACTTCGAAGCAGTGTGCCGATGCGTGTATCACTTTATCAGAAGTACGTCATCAATGACGTCCGACGCTTCGTTCGATCACATGCTTTTTCAAACCGTGTGTTGCAAAATGCGAGATCCCACTGATTTCACAGTGTTTCCGGTGCTTTCTTAGATTAAGCTGCTTTCAAACTCTGACCTCTACTGGATACAGTACTTATACATCTAGTTAGGATTTTGTACATGTAATTACACCTGACCGGTAGCTTAGCAGGTAGAGTAGGCACACTATTTAGAAAATAGTTTTATGTGAAACCACACCTTCTGCACTGTTGTTCAAATAATTTGTTTTATTTAGTATAGTATAAGCTGTCTTAAGCATCCTAAATAATGCCAGAGATTCTGTTTTAGAAAAATAGTAAACTTGAAGGCAAAAAAGGGAAGCATGATGTGAACCTGGTAAGCCAACGACTTACCGCTGTGCCACAGAATTTTGATAAAATTAGTAGAGGGAAAAAAACCTATCTGATAATCACACGTTGCTATTTATTGCTGACCACCAGATGTCACTATTGTGCATTGTGAACAGATAATAAAGCTCAGAGTAATGAACCTATTTTTGACACAATCGGCTGGAAAGCCTCAACGCTTCAGGAAGCTTTGTTTCCCCATCACTATTAATTACAGTAAAATACTGTAAAATACCAACATGATTACAGTAGCATTTCCTTTCTTACAGTATAGTAGGCTAATTTGACAGTATTGTATTGCGTCATTGCTCTGCATTTTCCTTTAAGTCACAGTAAACTGGTGGCACGTTACTGTGAAAATTAGATTAACGCACTTTGCACTAGCCAAAGATGGGTGAAGTTATCTTGTTACAAATACACAATATTTTGAACACCAAAGTATCCTTAACTACAACTACATTCCCAGTAATGGTTACATAAACGTTTTACTTGCTATTACTGTGATACAGTTGCTTGCGAAAGTATTCACCCCCCTTGAAATTTTTCCTATTTTGTTGCCTTACAACCTGGAATTAAAATGGGGGTTTGTATCATATGATTTACACAACATGCCTACCACTTTGAAGATGCAAAAAAATTAATAATTGTGAAACAAACAAGAAATAAGGCAAAAATAACAGAAAACTTGAGCGTGCAAACTTTTCAGCCCCCCAAAGTTAATACTTTGTAGAGCAACCTTTTGCAGAAATTACAGCTGCAAGTCTCTTGGGGTATGTCTCCATAAGCTTGGCACATCAAGCCACTGGGATTTTTGCCCATTCTTCAAGGCAAAACTGCTCCAGCTCCTTCAAGTTGGATGGGTTCCGCTGGTGTACAGCAATCTTTAAGTCATACCACAGATTCTCTATTGGATTGAGGTCTGGGCTTTGACTAGGCCATTCCAAGACATTTAAATGTTTCCCCTAAAACCACTCAAGTGTTGCTTTAGCAGTATGCTTAGTGTCATTGTCCTGCTGTAAGGTGAACCTCCGTCCCAGTCTCAAATCTCTGGAAGACTGAAACAGGTTTCCCTCAAGAATTTCCCTGTATTTAGCGCCATCCATCATTCTTTCAATTCTGACCAGTTTCCCAGTCCCTGCCGATGAAAAACATCCCCACAGCATGATGCTGCCACCACCATGCTTCACTGTGGGGATGGTGTTCTCGGGGTGATGAGAGGTGTTGGGTTTGCGCCAGACATATCGTTTTCCTTGATGGCCAAAAAGCTCAATTTTAGTCTAATCTGACCAGAGTACCTTCTTCCATATGTTTGTGGGGTCTCCCACATGGCTTTTGGTGAACACCAAACGTGTTTGCTTATTTTTTTCTTGAAGCAATGGCTTTTCACTCTTCCGTAAAGCCCAGCTCTGTGGAGTGTACGGCTTAAAGTGGTCCTATGGACAGATACTCCAATCTCCGCTGTGGAGCTTTGCAGCTCCTTCAGGGTTATCTTTGGTCTCTTTGTTGCCTCTCTGATTAATGCCCTCCTTGCCTGGTTCGTGAGTTATGGTGGGCGGCCCTCTCTTGGCAGATTTGTTGTGGTGCCATATTCTTTCCATTTTTTAATAATGGATTTAATGGTGCTCCGTGGGATGTTCAAAGTTTCGGATATTTTTTTATATCCCAACCCTGATCTGTACTTCTCCACAACTTTGTCCCTGACCTGTTTGGAGAGCTCCTTGGTCTTCATGGTGCCGCTTGCAGACTCTGGGGCCTTTCAGAACAGGTGTATATATACTGAGATCATGTGACAGATCATGTGACAATTAGATTGCACACAGGTGGACTTTATTTAACTAATTATGTGACTTCTGAAGGTAATTGGTTACACCAGATCTTATTTAGGGGCTTCATAGCAAAGGGGGTGAACACATATGCACGCACCACTTTTGAGTAATTTATTTTTTTGAATTTTTTGAAACAACTTATTTTTTTCATTTCACTTCACCAATTTGGACTATTTTGTGTATGTCCATTACATGGAATCCAAATAAAAATCAATTTAAATTACAGGTTGTAATGCAACAAAATAGGAAAAACGCCAAGGGGGATGAATACTTTTGCAAGGCATTGTATGTGTTTTTTTTATCAACGTTAAATGAATGCACATACTGTAAGTCGCTCTGGACAAGAGCATCTGCTAAATGACCAAAATGTAAATGTCAAAATGTACATTTGCAAAGCACACTGCTGGGTATTATTCTAATAAAATGTGGCCTTGTTTGGGGGCGGATGTCATTAGAATAATACCGAGCAGTGTGCTTAGCAAGTGTTAATTTTCACATTTACATTTTGGTCATCTAGCAGACGCTCTTATCAAGAGCGACTTACAGTCAGTGTATTAAAACTAAGGTAAACAAGAATATACCACAGTCATAGCAAGTAAAGAGATTATGTTAGCGTTACTGAGAATGTTAAGTGGGCTACTTGCAAGTATATATTTGTATTAGAAAATACAAAATACATGTATTCTAATTAAACTGTTACAAAATAGGATACATCAATTGTAGTTCAGGCCAGTGAAATACAAATGACAAAATAGGTATTGAAAGTGTTTAAATATCTATATCAAACACATGTAATAGAAATACTGCCTGTCGTTGGCACTAGCTACCTGCACTGTAAGTCTGCAACAGTTTACTAACCACTGTGCTTCCAGTAATGCCCTGTAAATTATAGAAATACAGCATGTTACTATAGTCAGGTGTTCCAGTAATATGCTGTAAATTTGTTACAGTAAAGGTCCTGTAAATCTACAGTAATTTACTGGCTTCTGTGCTGCCAGTAATTTACTTTAAATTTACAGTAACCTACTGGCTACTGTGCTGACAGTAATTTACAGGAATTTTTTTTTCATTGTACTGTTACTTTTTATCTAGAATGAATCAAATGTCATGGTAGAAACTTGTGTCTCTAACAACCTTTTCTGATAAAAATGGTCCCTCCCTCCCTCCCTCTCACAGACAGTGTATCTCTCTCGGAGGCCCAGTGTGGTTCACTGTCTTCCTCTCTGTGGGATGGAGGTTACCCGTCCCAGACCAGCCCCTGTCTCTCCATCCACCCAGACTTCTCCCCCAGCCCAGCAGCCTTCCATGCCCCAGACTGTGCTCTGTGGACGGGCCACGCTCTGCCCCAGCCCAGCCTCCCTCCTCCAGCCTCTCTCCCGGACCCCTGGGCCTACAGCCTCAACCCTCAGACCTCTGCCAGCTACACACACGCCCACAATGTCTACACACACACTCACCCTCACACACACATGCACCCCCGCCACACCTACCCAGTATTACATTCCCACCTGTCCCATGGCCCAGGCCTAGACCCCAGGTTCAGCCCTCTGCTCCTGCCTGGTGTGAAGACTCAGAGCCCCCTAGCCCACAGCCCTGCTGGACACAGCACACAGAGTGCCACACACAGCAGCCAGAGCCCAGGGATACACAGGGATGTGAAGATAGAGGTGGAGCAGGCCAGCCCCAACCCCCCCACCCTGACCCTCTCAGCCTGGCCAGCAGCTCTACACACACCCTTGGATATCTACGACTCAGGTAAGCCTTAGACCTGGAGCACACATACACTACCAGTGAAAAGTTTGGACACACCTACTATTTTTACTATTTTTTATATTGTAGAATAATAGTGAAGACATCAAAACTATGAAATAACACATATGGAATCATGTAGTAACAAAAAAAGTGTTAAACAAATCAAAATATATTTTATATTTGAGATTCTTCAAATAGCCACCCTTTGCCTTGATGACAGCTTTGCACACTCTTGGCATTCTGATCTAGGGTGTAATCATTAATCCAACAGTTGTCCCCGTTTTCGTTCCGTTTGCTTCTGTTGAAGTAATATTTACAACAGAATCGGTGGAATGAATACACCCCTGATCACATGTAAACACAGTTCACTTTCGTAGCAGCCACGTTGTATTCCTTCTTGCATCTATGCGCTCTCCTCCTCTCACCTTTTCCCTTCGCTTGTGGACTTCAATGCACAACACATCAGCTGTATGTGACCAGGTGAAAAAAAGTTTCCAAGCCAAAGCATAATCATAACCGCTACACACAGCCTACATCGTTGTCACCATATTAGCTAAAGTAACATCATAGTCAACATAGCTAATAGAACTAACGCGTTAGTAAACCTGCTACAATCATGCGGTAACATTACAGTGTACAGTTCAATAAGCAGTTTAGCAGTTACACAGGTGGGCCCCAGTGGTAATACATTTGTAAAACCAAACGCTTACCTTGACTTGGAAGAGTTCCATTGTTGTGCTGAATAGTCATAGCCAGCTAGCTAACATAGCATCCCTCTGTTTGAGCCAGGTGTTTGAGTAGGTGAAACTAGCTAGCTAGCTGCATTTGCTAGCTAAGTAAGTGAAAGTGAAAATAAATGATGAAATATAGCTCTCTCTCTCTCTCTCCCTCTCTCTGTATCTCTTTTGCTTATCCTTCATTTTTGAAGAAATTAATTTGTTCAAAACTGTTCAACTATTGTCTTTCTCTCTCTTTGAGTCAACTACTCACCATATTTTATGCACTGCAGTGCTAGCTAGCTGTAGCTTATGTTTTCAGTACTAGATTCATTATCTGATCCTTTAATTGGGTGAACAACATGTCAGTTCATGCTGCAAGAGCTCTTATAGGGTTGAAGGACGTCCTCCGGAAGTTGTCATAATTACTGTGTAAGTCTATGGAAGGGGGTGAGAACCATGAGCCTCCTAGGTTTTGTATTGAAGTCAATGTACCCAGCGGAGGACGGAAGCTAGCTGTCCTCTGGCTACACAATGGTGCTACCCTACAGAGTGCTGTTGAGGCTACTGTCGACCTTCATTGCAAAACAGTGTGTTTTAATCAATTATTTGGTGACATGTGAATATATTTAGTATAGTTTTATCTAAAAAGCATAACTTTTTTAATGTTTTTTTTATTTTTATGAAATTCACTGAGGAGCCTCCACTGATGTCTACATGCATGCTATGATTTTGTTTAATCTCAAAGTTGATGTTGTGCTCTCTCACGCTCTCTTCAGGTCTGGACAAAGTCAATGCTGTTTGGTTCTGAGAGAGAGGATATGACATCACTGTGACATCACCCTGGCACTGAGCTGTGATCAGCTCTAACAGAACCCCCTGGAACCACAAACATATCCTGTGTACTCACTCTCTAGTAGAATACTCTCTGCTCACTAGAAAAAGTCCAGGGTGGGTTTACAGATGTAGGATCTTAATTTGATCACTTTTTTATTGATGATAATTTTACTGCAAAGCAGGAAATGCAAACTTGTAGTGTATTTCAGTTTTAAAAAGGCTTCTAAAGTTTGTAATTTCCACTTTGACATTTCAGACTTAATTTTCCCTAATGAATGAAATGTATCAACCCCTACAAAAATGTCAATTTATTATAATCCACATAATAATTCACATTTCCTGTTGCAGCAGGATTATTTTCCTGCTTTAGCAAACTGTCTCAAATTAAGATCCTACATCTGTAGGTCTCTCAGAAAGCACTCTGGAGAAGCATAGACCACTCTCCATGCCTCACACTATCCACCAGGGATACTTCTGATAACTTTTTGGCCAAATCTTTTAAAAATTTGTACCAAAAGTATTAGCTGGCTGTTTTGGACCTAATATCCAACATGATGGTTCTGTTTAAAGAACTTAGTTTGTGGGAACACTGCTCAGCCAAGCCTCTTTCTGATATTTCTTTACATTGCGCTATGTGTGTAACTATGTGTGTAATTGACTGTAATGTATTTTGTATATAGTACTTTGATTTGAAGTGATTGTCATTTCCTTAAAGTGTTTGATTGTTGCTAGTTGTTTTTCACCAACCCTGTGTTGTCATGTTGCCTAGTGTTCTATATGTGTGGAGAAGTCATGTAATTATTGATGTGTAATAAATTGCTAAGTTCTATTGGCAAACGTTTCCTCATTTTTAAGAGCTGACTCAAAGTACACATAGTTAAATGTCATATTTTGTATCAGATCTGATAATTGGACATCACCCAGCATGGTTTAGCAATGATCTGCCCATATGGAAAAGTAATATATGGCAATATACACTCAGTTGCCAGTTTATTAGGTACACCCATCTTGTACCGGGTCGGACCTCCCTTTGCCTCCAGAACAGCCTGAATTCTTTGGGGCATGGAAACATTGCTCAATTGGTATCAAGGGACCTAACGTGTGCCAGGAAAGCATTCCCCACACCATTACACCACTGCCACCAGCCTGTACCGTTGACACCAGGCAAGATGGGGCCATGGACTCATGCTGCTTATGCCAAATCCTGACTCTGCCATCAGCCTGACGCAACAGGAACCGGGATTCATCGGACCAGGCAATGCTTTTCCATTCCTCAATTGTCCAGTGTTGATGATGCTGTGCCCACTGGAGCCGCTTCTTCTTGTTTTTAGCTGATAGGAGTTGAACCGGGTATGGTCATTTGCTGCAATAGCCAATCCGTGACAAGGACCAACGAGTTGTGTGTTCCGAGATGCCGTTCTGCACAGCACTATTGTATGGTGCCGTTATTTACCTGTTGGTGGCCCGCCTGTTAGCTTCCATGATTCTTGCCATTCTTCTTTGACCTCTCATCAACAAGCTGTTTTCGCCCAAAAGACTGCCGCTGACTGGATGTTTTTTGTTTGTCACACCATTCTCGGTAAACCCTAGACACTGTCGTGCATGAAAAGCCCAGGAGGCCGGCCTGTTCTGAGATACTGGAACCGGCGTGCCTGGCACCGACAATCATACCACGCTCAAAGTCGCTTAAGTCACTCGTTTTGCCCATTCTAAAATTCAAACAAACAGTAACTGAATGCCTCGATGCCAGTCTGCCTGCTTTATAATTCACGCAACGGCCACGTAACTGTCTGTAGGATCTAACCATTTTTGTAAACGGGGTGGTGTACCTAATAAACGCATAGATGTGGATACATTTACAAGATTTGGCCGTTTTCATATATGTGATATATATTTCTGCCTTGTATACACTTACAGTGCATTCGGAAAGTATTCAGACCCCTTGACTTTTTCCACATTTTGTTACGTTACAACCTTATTCTCGAATGGAATAAATTATTTTCTTTCCTCATCGATCTACACACGACACCCCATAATGACAAAGCAAAAACTGGTTTATAGAGATTTTAGCAAATATATTAAATATCATATTTACATACAGTTGAAGTCGGAAGTTTACATACACCCTAGCCAAATACATTTAAACTCAGTTTTTCACAATTCCTGACATTTAATCCTAGTACAAATTCTCTGTCTTAGGTCAGTTAGGATCACCACTTTATTTTAAGTCAGAATAATAGTAGAGAGAATGATTTATTTCAGCTTTTATTTCTTTCATTACATTCCCAGTGGGTCAGAAGTTTACATACACTCAATTAGTATTTGGTAGCATTGCCTTTAAATTGTTTAACTTGGGTCAAACGTTTCGGGTAGCCTTCCACAAGCTTCCCACAATAAGTTGGGTGAATGTTGGCCCATTCCTCCTGACAGAGCTGGTGTAACTGAGTCAGGTTTGTAGGCCTCCTTGCTCGCACACGCTTTTTCAGTTCTGCCCACAAATGTTCTATAGGATTGAGGTCAGGGCTTTGTGATGGCCACTCCAATACCTTGACTTTGTTGTTCCTTAAGCCATTTTGCCACAACTTTGGAAGTATGCTTGGGGTCATTGTCCATTTGGAAGACCCATTTGTCACCAAGCTTTAACTTCCTGACTGATGTCTTGAGATGTTGCTTCAATATATCCACATAATTTTCCTTCCTCATGATGCCATCTATTTTGGGAAGTGCACCAGCCCCTCTTGCAGCAAAGCTCCCCCACAGCATGATGCTGCCACCCCCGTGCTTCATGGTTGGGATGGTGTTTTTCGGCTTGCAAGCAACCCCCTTTTTCCTCCAAACATAACAATGGTCATTATGGCCAAACAGTTCTATTTTTGTTTTCATCCGACCAGAGGACATTTCTCCAAAAAGTATGATCTTTGTCCCCATGTGCAGTTGCAAACCGTAGTCTGGCTTTTTTATGGCGGTTTTGGAGCAGTGGCTTCTTCCTTGCTGAGCGGCATTTCAGGTTATGTCGATATAGAACTCGTTTTACTGTGGATATAGATACTTTTGTACCTGTTTCCTCCAGCATCTTCACAAGGTCCTTTGCTGTTGTTCTGGGATTGATTTGCACTTTTCGCACCAAAGTACGTTCATTTCAAGGAGACAGAACGCGTGCTTCTCCTTCCTGAGCGGTATGACAGCTGCGTGGTCCTATGGTGTTTATACTTTTGTACTATTGTTTGTACAGATGAACGTGGTACCTTCAGGCGTTTGGAAATTGCTCCCAAAGATGAACCAGACTTATGGAGGTCTACCATTTTTTTTCTGAGGTCTTGGCTGATTTCTTTTGATTTTCCCATGATGTCAAGCAAAAAGGC